GAACACAGGGCAATAGTGACTGACACTTTGAATTTATAGCTGCATATTCTGCTTCCTCTTTTATTGCATCAAAATCGATTGCAAATCTAATGTGGCTCTATAATCTACAGTGGCTTTTAGATGTGATTATGTGGGCTTACGGATTAGAAATTTACTCATTTAATTTGAAGATATTAATTGGTAGACTTTAGTTTGCACTTAGACAACCTGTATTCAAATGTTTAACTTACACGGGAAGGATACTTGGTCGAAGTAGCGATTTGAAATGGGGTATATACTATCAAATGTAATTTGAAACGCTGATCCCCAATCTGCTTTCCATATCTGCGAAGCGTCTCTTTGGGAGAATTTATGGGCCTTTTTCTTCATTAAAAATGGCTCGATTCTGATTTAAAATGTTCAAAATTTCAGCCTGAAGCTAGAACAGCAGCGCAAAGGCTGTATATTAAGGAGATATCATAATTATAATAAAACAACCTTTTCTTGTCGGTTCATGCCGGATTTGATGTTGTAGAGCAATTTCTGACTAAGCGTGCAAGACAATTTTCACGCAAAAAAAATTTCATAACATCTTCCAGAAAAACGCTTCGCAGATATGGAAGGAAGATTTTGAATCAGCCTTTGAAACCGCATCTACCGGTCATCGCTTCTTGAAATGCCACTTCGACCTAGTATCCTTCCCTTGTTAGAACTTTAATTTCAGCACGATGATTATCATTTAGAGTTAGTACAATCTCCTAGGACTAGTCTTGGTCTTGACTTTTCTAGTATATAAAATAAAGTAAAGCCTCAATCATGGCTTACTCCGGCAAAATTTTTTGCACTTTTTTCAAGTTTCATGATCACTGAACGAAATAGATGATGTCCATTCTTTACTAGCACTTATACGACCAAACGAACTATTTTAGAAGAGAGATTTTTGAATTTCATGTTAAAAAAAACGACTAAAAATACTCTTATCCTCTAGATCAATATCTTCGCAAGGGGAAGCATACATCAGGGTTGCACATAGTCAGACATCATCTCTAGTAAATAGCACGAGTAAGGGCTTGAGGAGCTTGAGGAAGAACTCATCTGAGAAAGTGTTACTTCCCCTTGAATACGCAACCCACAACCATCATCGAATTTCTATACACTCGTGCTGTTGCACAATATGGAACCTGTAAAGCGCTTCAGACGACTTCGCTCATTAGAAAAAAGAGCGGTTTCCATCGTTCCTTCATCTTCTCACCATGGGCGAGTCGATTTTGAGCGCCTGAAGTTTCTAGGCCTAGATCCGGAAGTTCCTCCTGTAAAGCTATCACACAAGTATTTAACGGCGACTATAAATAGATCTGCGTCAGCCGTATATTGAATGCATTCAGGGTGCAGTTTATTTAACGTTCAAAGTATGATATCCCATTTTGAACTGACGTATCATACATTATGGTAATTATCTGTAGTACAAAAATATAGAAAAATTATGAAGCTTTTAAATTGCACATGAATCCGAACAACTTCTTATATTCTAAGGAAACACATCCATATTGATTCCTATTTATAACATCAATCAAATATATCTACACAACTACGACAATCAGTACAGATATAAAACAAATTGTAACTAAACTATTCGAAATCAAACAAGTCGCGTATGTATACTAACGCTATAAAGTAAGAGAGGCCACATGAATAAGCAGAAAAAAATCAATCCTTCTCTTTGAATATCAGCTTCAAACAGCTATCAACAAAAAAAGAAATTTTCAAATTACAATAAGTATCATGCACCGATTTCTACATTTCATCAGAAGTGGAGTAAGGGTCTGTTAAGCTGCCAAAAAATCTCGATTTGTAGTAATCTAGTACTGTTTTCTTCTTCTTGAGCATTTCTTCAGAAAGTTGACCTTCAGCTTCCATTTTTCGCCAAGTAAATCGATTTACAGGATGATCTGGGCCTTTCCACCATCTTAATCAAATACATATCAGAACTAGTTGCAATAACATCATTTAAATATCTATGAATTAATCTAAACTCTATAGCATTAAGCTTACCGTACGCCAACATTGTAGCCAACTATATACACAGTCATGACGAATGCAAAAGCAGGCCCGCTCCGACGTAGGGGTAACGTCACCACATACCAGAACCTAAGTAGCTTACGTACAAGTATGTTATAGGATAGAAACAGCGAACTTACACTTTAGATATACACTCCAAAAGAAGGTAATTTACTTGCTTTCATTTATAAACTTACAACTTTCAGTCCTTTCGTTTCCTCAGAAAGATAAGGTCAGAGCTACGGGAATTACGGCCGCGTTCCCAAACGCTTTTAAGACGCAAAAGCGAGGACTCTACCGCATTGACTGCGATAACTACAAGTCGGCATTCACTTAGTATGCAGGCTCGCAGCTGTGACCGTTATCCCTTTCGGAAAGACTACACCTTTACTCTTTATTACTCGGTTTGCTAGCAAGTTCACTTGTTAATCAATTTTTCTCAAAGCATCTATTTTACACGACTCTAGGTGGATACTGATATACTGATTACTCAAGGATTTGTGGTTGTTGTTGCCAGTGACTCATAAAGCCTGCAATTCCGCGGTGTGTAGCAATGCACGGGGAGACGATCAAGCAAGACTTGTGACAACTGGCAGCTTTCCCTCTCTTTTCACTAGCTCTACAGAA